CCCAAGGCCACCTCTGACCCCTCTGATCTGGCGCCAGGCCACACGATCCAAGAGGGGCCCTGGGGTTGGAGAATCAGAATAGGTGGGCTGACCCACAGAAGGACCTCTGTCTCCTTCCGGGACAGGTGGGCGAAGGATCCCTCTAGGCGCGCGAGTAGAATCGGACGGGGAAAGTGACCCGAGGAGGCCGCCTGGGGCAGTGCTGGGCCCTCCGCGCTTCTCTCCCAGGCAGCGCCTGCCCCTCAGCGGGAAGCCGGTGAAGTAATGGGAGGAGACAGCGCTTCCTGCAGGCTCCATTAGGGGTTCAGGTTTATTTATTTTTAATCATTTCATGGGGGGCTCGTACAGCTCTTAGCACAATCCATCCATTCATCCGTTGTGTCAAGCACATTGTTGCCATCATCATTTTCAAAACATTTTCTTTCTACTTCAGCCCTTGGTATCAGCTCCTCTTTCCCCTCCCTCACGAACCCTTGATCATTTATAAATTTTTATTTTTTTCCTGTCTTACACTGACCGATGTCTCCCTTCACCCACTTTTCTGTTGTTCATCCCCCTGGGAGGGGGTTATATGTAGATCATTGTGATCAGTTCCCCCTATCTCCCCCCACCTTCGCCTTCCCCTCCTGGTATTGCTACTCTCAATATTGGTCCTGAGGGGTTTTTCTGTCCTGAATTCCCTGTTTCCAGCTCTGATCTGTACCAGTGTACACGCTCTGGTCTAGCTGGATTTGTAAGGTCGAATTGGGGTCATGATAGTGGGGGGGAAGGTGCTCAGGTCTCTGTCAGCACCCAGCCTTCTGTTAGCTTCTGGATTGACAAGCTCCCATTGCCCCTCCCGGATGGCGCATCAGAAGCCACCTTGAATGCATGCCCATAGGTACCTGCACATAGGCTATCAAGCCTATCAACCCCTCACTGTCTGCCCCTCTAGGAACCTGGGGCACCAATTCTGGGGACATAATAAAATAAAATATATAAACAAAATAATAAAACAAAGTCTTCCTCTTCCTGTTGATCACAGTGAACTGCATTGCACTGCTCAGCATCCTGGCCGTGTAGGCTTGAAACAACTGCTAGGGACCAATTGGCCACAGGGTCTCACTGGGAGCGGGCACACGAGAGCCACTGTGGAGTGCTTCAAGAAGCCCCAGTACCCCAGTCAGTTATGCCCTTTTGGGGACACATGAAAGCAATGTTTCTTAAACTTGACCCTGGAGGCTGGAGATTGGAGGCCTGAGAGTGTACATTTTTAACAAGCTTCCAGTGTGGCTCCACAGACCAGCCTTGTTGTTACCATTAAGCGAAGGACACAAAGGGCTAGTTCTTTTTCAAGAAGCACCAGGGACGTTGAGTCGATGTCCGTCTCGGTGGACCGACTTGGCACAGGACAGCAGGGATGACCGCGCCATGTCACTGACTTGGCCATGTAAACCCTATTGAGATGGGGCGGGCTCTGGTCGGTATCTTTTCAACACACACAATTTCAAGCACAAACCCCGTGACGTCCTATGATCAACCTCAGGAGAAACGAAGTAGACATGAGACCTGTGTGGTGCGAATGGTTAGAGGCAGAAAGAACGGGAAACAGCCCACGAAGAAGAAAGGCAGCCCGGGGAAGGGGAGGAATAGAGGCTGGAGGAGTCTCAGGTCTCCTTGCCGGGAAGTCTGGTGTTGGCTCCACAGACCCCACTTTGAGGACCAGAGCATTAGAGGACTGGGCTGTACAGTGGGAGTCTGGGTGGCTGCGGGGGTGGGGGTGGGGGTGATCCATCCTCGCTCCTGGTGAGTCCTGGTAGCGCAGTGGTCACAAGCTTGGCTCACTGTCACAGAGTCGGTGCTGACTCCCAGAGACTCTATAGGACAGGGTAGAACTGCCCCTTGAGTTTCCAGACAGTAACTTACTTCAAACCTGGTAGTTAGCAGCCCAACACATACCCACTACGCCAAGCTGGGCTGCTAACCCCAAAGTCAGCAGCGTGAACCCCCAGCTGATCCAAGGGGGAAAGCTGTAGCAGTCTGCTTCCTAAAGAGGAATTTCTCAGAGGAATCCCCAAGGGGCAGTTCTAGAAACCACGATCGAATTAATGCCAGTGGGTTGATGACCATCGTCCATGTCCTCATTCTACAACTGGGAAAACAGACCTCTGCAGGGGAAGGGACCTGCACAAAGAAACACCACCCCACCCCACCCCAAGCAAAGGTGAGATGCCTGCCTGTGGAATTCCAAGTCATACTCTTCTCTGCCCTTCTCCCCCCTCTCCAGCCCTGCCTCCAGGGCACCAGGGCACTCTGCCTTGTCCAGCCTCCTTTCTGAGTGTCTGCCGGGAGACAGCATCCGCCTGGCAACCAGCCTTGTACACCTCAGAGGCCATTAGAAAAGAGCTCAACTTTGGGGTCCTCAGCTGCCCCAGTAGCATGTTTCTCCCCAGCCACTCCCCTCGCCTTGGGGAAGCCAGGCTGTCTCCCTCTTCCTCCGTTCCCAGCCCCGCACTGACCACAGGCAGAGCTGCCATGGCCAGGGCTCTGAGCGGCAGCCCTGGCTGCTTGGCAGGATGGTTGTGGGAGGAGCAGGTGATCTGCAGCATCGTCCCTGTCCCCCCTGGATAGGACCCCACAGAAGGAAAGAGATGGAGACCGCTTATCATGGGAAAGGAGAACATCTGTAATCGAAGTCTCCATGCCCCTGGGTTCCCACCTTGGCCTCAGCGTCTCCTGTTGTCTCCGTTTCACTGCGTGTAGAGCAGTGGTTCTCAACCTTCCTAATGCCGCGACCCTTTCATACAGGTCCTCATGTGGTGGTGACCCCCAACCATCACATTATTTTCGTTGTTACTTCATCACTGTAATGTTGCTACTGTGATGCATCGTAATGTAAATATCTGAGATGCAGGGTGTATTAGGCGACCTCTGTGGAAGGGCCTTTCGAACCCCAAAGGGGTCGCGACCCACAGGTTGAGAACTACTGATGTAGCAGTACCAAATCTTTCAGCAATTTCTAAGTTTCCTGCCAAAGCTATCTTCCTATGAAGTTGAGCACCGTGGGACAGACTAGACCTTCTTGGGGTCAAATAGGGCTTGCACATAGGTGCACAAAATATGCAGTCATTTAAATGACTCCTGCAGCTTCTGGCCTGGGACCACCTGTACCAGGAAGCTTCAAAAAGTACCCGGAAGAATGGAATTAAAAGATAAAGGAATTGTCCCATGAAGGAACTCGGATAGACATATTTTGCCCTCCCTGCCCCATCCTCTCCTTCTAATCCTGGTAGCATGGTGTGTTTTGAGTTGGGCCGCTGCCCCCAAGATCAGAAGCTGGAAACCGCCCGCCACTGTGCAGGACAGATGCCTCTTCCTGTTCCTGTGCAGATGTACAGCCTTGGAGACCCACGGGGAAAGCTCTACTCTGTCCCATGGGGTCACTACGAGTCAAGGTCAACTCAGTGGTATAGGTGGGTGTTAGCCCAGAGCTACCAGCCTAGGATTGCGTTTGGGACGTTCAACAAGGATCCGTATACCCACATTTCCTTTTCAACCTCCAAATGTCCTGGCTTTTTTCTTTCCTCTATCACGCGGGCCTCTTGATCGCCCCCAGCTTCAGGTACCCATAGTGACCCCATTGGAAGAACCCCTAGCCTAACCTTGCTTTTAGATCTGGAAAGTGTCCACTGGGAAGGACAGGAAGGGTGGTGGACTTGGAAGGCCGGCTCTACGCCAAGAAGTGGTGCCGGTGCGCGCCCTGGTGGAAGAGAGCCGAACTGCAGGGGCCCGCGGCCTGCCGGCTCCGCCCCTGGGCCCGAAGACCTTCCAGGTCACCTGGGCCCCAGCGCCCAATGGGACGGACTGACCCGAAGAGGAGGAGGTGACGGCTGCGGCCCAGCTGGGGCTCTTGGAGGGAACGAGGGTGAGGGGTATACCGTATTGGGGGAGCCAGGGACAGGTGAATAGAGTAGGGGGCCGAGTTCAGCGAGGGACTCGTGGACTCTTAGAGATGGGTGGGAGAATGCTCTCATCTAGAGACGCTCCAAGGACTGAGTGGAAGGGCGAGGACCCCGTTAGAGTCATGGTCTTCGGGGTGCCCGGGGTCTGGGCACACTGGCTGGCACCTGAGCGTGGAGTGTGTGTGTGTGTGTGTGTGTGTGTGGTGCCCAGCGCCTTCCCTGAGTGGCCCTGTGCACGTGTTGGAGAGGGGCTCCTTAGGGCAGAGGGTCGGTCACACACTCACCCACTCCTCTCCCCAGATGGCATCTCTGACCCCCGATACCCCGTGTTCCTGCGACTGCTTTGTCTCCGTGCCCCCGGCCTCTGCCACCCCAGCCGTCATCTTTGCCAAGAACTCTGACAGGCCCCGGGAGGAGGTGCAGGAGGTGGTGTTTGTACCTGCAGCCACGCATGCCCCTGGGAGTCTTCTCCAGGTGGGTTAGGGCTTATGGGGGTGCTGGGGGCGTGCCACATCTAGGTAGGTGCCTAAGACCCTTGTCCTGTGGTTCCCTCGCCTGGGGGGAGGGAAGCATACGTGTACTGGAAAGAGCTTGAAGTCCAAGTGGACCTTAGCTGGTGGCTTAGCCTCTGTGGACCTGGACTTCCCCCACGGATTGCGCCAGCACGGCCAGGTACCTCTCCCTCTCTCCCTTCCAGTGCACCTACATTCAGGTGGAGCAGGTGTCGAGGACGCATGCTGTGGTCCTGAGCCGCCCTTCTTGGCTGTGGGGGGCTGAGATGGGTGCGAATGAGCATGGGGTCTGCATTGGCAATGAGGCGGTGTGGACCAAGGAGCCTGTTGGAGAGGGGGAGGCCCTGCTGGGCATGGACCTACTCAGGTGTGTATCTGCCTCCGTCATTTCCATACTCACAGGAATCTGGGAGCTGAACGTTGGCCTGGGTCCATCCTTCCGTCCCCCAAGCCTGTTCACCGGAGCCCTCTTGGTGCCTCTTCTCGCCCTCACATTCTCCCCTGAGAGCCCCCCTCCTGGTCTCTCTCAGGACCCCATAGTCTACCTGGATCCACCCTCATCCAGTTGATTCTCACTTGTAGGGTTTCTGCCAATCTTTATGGGAGCAAATGGGCCCAGTTTTCTCCTGAGGAGCGGCTGGTGGGTTTGAACCCCTGACCTTGTAATTAGCTGTCCAATGCTTACCCAACACCCCGCCCAACCCCAGCTCAAAAAAAGGGCAACTTTCTATAGAAGTGAAAGTTGTTTTTAAATGAACCTCTTTGTGGCATCTGATTAAAAAGTGGAGTCGAAGTCTTGCAGGCAAAGGCTCTTTTCTGGGTGGGACCCCGTCTCAGCATTTCTCAGGAGATCCCCAGAGCACAGCTCAGAAACACTGCTATAGCTGCTGATGGGGATCAAAGCTGGTGGGCCGCTCGCTTAACCTCTCTGGGGGTTTAGTTGCCTTAAAGTTTAGATGCCTCCACGATCCCATGACCCCTCCATCGCCTGGCTCTTTCTCTCTGTAGGCTGGCTCTAGAGCGGAGTACCTCAGCCCAGGAAGCCTTGCAGGTGATCACAGGTTTGCTGGAG